TACCAAATGTTGGCCAATTACAAGCATTACAGTGTGGACTTACGACAAGCGTATCAAAAGATCCCAATATGTGAAGATGAGAAGAAATATACTTGTTTTGAAGCAATGGGTAAGCTTTATCACTTCACACGCATACCCTTTGACGTGACTAATGGAGTTGTCCACTTTCAACGTGCAATAGACCAAATAATGACTGCCGAAAACCTCACTGGAGTGTATTCGTACCTCGATGACCACTGTGTGCGGAATGGATAAAGGTGATCATGACCTGAATCTAAACAAGCTCATGTTGACCTCGGCATTGAAATCAACAAGGAAGAGTAAATTTCATCTTACAAGCGTAAAACTCCTGGGTCATCTTGTTTCATACCATTTTATCAAGTCAGACCCTCCCGGCTTGCCCCATTGTTGAATATGCCACTGCCACATAACCCCGAATCACTAAAGAGAGCTATTGGTTTCTTTGCTCATTACTCGAAGTGATTACCGACATTTTTAGATAAAATCCAAGTCTTGATTGATGCCAAATCATTTCCACTAAATCTATCTTTCGAAAAGCTAAAAAAGGATATTGTCAACTCGGTCGTCACTACCATTGATGAATCACGTGGAAACTGATGCCTCTATGTTTGCACTGGCAACTACCCTTAGTCAAGATGGAGGCCGATTGCGTTTTTCTCACGATCACTAAGCAAATCTGAAATCAGTGGTCATCCACCAATTGAAAAGGAGGCAGCAGAAATTGTTGAATCCTTGAAACATAGTTGAGCATTTCTTCTTGGCAAGCATTTTCGCCTTATAACTGAACAAGAGGCTCTGTCTTTAATTTTTGACAGAAAGCATGGGAGTAAAGTAAAAAATGAGATCACAAGATGGCGGCTAGAGCTAGCTCCATTCATTTATGATATAACTTACCGTCCCGGTGAAGACAACAACAAAATCAGACACTCTCTCCCTTGTCTGTGGTACTTCTACTTGTACCAACTTGCTCCAGCTTCACCAATCTTTGTGCCATCCTGGTGTTACACGTATGTACCATTGGCTCAAATCTAAGAACATTCCTTATTTACTCGAAGATGACATCAAACTGTACCATCTGTGCTGAAGTAAAACCTAGGTACTTGAAAACTTTGGAATCCTAGTAAAGGCCACCTCTTCATTCAAACGCATCAACATAGAAAATCACGGAACTTTTACCTCCTCACCATCATTGACGAGCATTCCCGTTTCCCTATTGCATAGGACTGTCATGATGTTTCTGCCGCCACTGTTGTTGAGTGTCTCAAAGACCTCTCTTGTTTATTTGGAATGCCAGCCTACGTCCACACTGACCGGAGAACTTCCTTCATGTCTATGGGAGTCATGGACTTCCTCAATTCAAATGGTGTAGTCACCAGCAGAACAACCCCGCAGGAAACGGACAAATTGACTCAGTGTTTTTTTTTTCGTCATAATCCACGGATTTAATTGCTAAAGTGGTTGCCGTTTCTTCTATATTATTACAATCGCAACTACGAATAGCTCTAATTTGTTCTTTGAGATAATATAGTCATAAAATTGTATAACAAATATATATATTTGTTATACAATTAAATGGTAATAAATCAGAAAAGTAAAAATTTAAAAATGAAGTATGATAATTTCAAATAATGTTGACCCACAATTTTCTCCTAAGAGTTTCGATGTCTGTCCGGGTTATCAGACGATTTCAGCTCAGCAGCAGGCCCTTCTTCAAGATTTAGGAGTGAGAGAAGGATGCCAGCATCTTACAGGTGTGATATCCTCGAAAGGTGTATCATATCTTGATTTTTAATACTTTAGAAGAGTTTGAGTCTATAACCGCGATGAAATATGCATGCGGTCCCTGTTTGGGCGCCAATTACGCAGCTACCATCGAAAAGTAAAAAAAAAAAAACATTATTCAGAAAATAAATCATACAATGAACATACATTAAGACATATTAAGTACTATTTTTTTTTCATGTGTTCCAGATACACTTTCATTCACAGACTTGAATAAACATTTTGAGTTTTAAATAAAAAAAAAAATAAAGGTAAACCTAGAAAAATAGACCTATGATGTATTCAATTATAAATATCTACTATATTTATAGTTGGAGGCCTTCTGGTATAGTCATCAGGATTTTAAGGCTCTATAAAGATTGACATATGATCCATTTACTATATTTGTTCTTTATTAACATATAGCCAATCATGAAAATGAATAATAAAAATATTGCATGTTTCAATTAATGAGACACAACTGCCTTACAACACAATGCTGAAACCTAGTTGAAAGGGATTTAGTTATTGAAGTATATGCATTTTGTATGTGATGTAGTATAATTTAATGGTTTTGTTGATGTAATGCATTTTTATAATCAAAATATTATTAATTTAAAAAGGACATAAAAATAATGAAAAGAAAGCTTATTATACAAATAAAGTATATGCAACTAATGAATAAATAAGAGTCACTAGCTGTATTACAAAAGTTTGGTGCTATACACTATACTAATTTTCAAGCAAGATTATTTCAAACAAAAAGTAGAAGAATGATTCAACCAAGGGTGCTCATTCAATTTTAATATAATACATGCTACAACTCACATAAATATGAGCACTTATTTAAAAAAAAAATATTACTATAAAGAATAATAAATTTAAAAACTAACTGGCCCGTCATATGGAAATTCGGAACCCAGGTTGCGTTTCTTGGGTTGGACACTCATGTTGTAAGCATTGAAACAGAGTTTGTAATTTTATCCAACTTGTGATATAATTTGTATGTTTTAATAAATAACAATATTGAACTTCTTAATCCATTTTGTTGATGGCGATAATACATACAAGAGAGACAAATTAGTGAGCATTCCCTTAAACATATATTGACTTTAAAATAAAGAAACCTACAGTCCTAGGAATTATATAAGTGTTCAAAATATAATAAATTGACTAATAAGTTCTTTCAGTTTAATTTTTATTTTATTAAACTGAAAAATGAATGAATTCCTATGCTAGTCATAAGAATACTTAGAGGCAGGAAGTTAACATTAAGTAAAGACTTGCAAAATGAAAACATCAATTCTGAAACTGTTCGTTATTTTAAAAACTAAAAAACAGTTGTTTTAAGAATAACAAATATATTGTTATTCTTATATATTTATATATTGTTAGTCATAAGCAGTTGAATTTTGTACTTTAAAACTAATTTCTATTTCCATATGATCTGCTGTTTTATGATTACTATTAAATTCAACTATAACAGTTAATAATCATTTTGGGGTAAAAATAAATTAGTTATTTTTAAGATTGTATAATTGGTTACAGACATTTAGAATATTGTTATAAACATGGATAATTTAAGAACCTTAAAGATTTATTACATGAAATAAACCATGCAATAGTGTATTTTACAGTATATTTATCGAACAATTAATTAGTTTTTTACATATTCTAAAATATTTATATAGTAAAATGTACTTTCTTTAGCAAGAACATTCAAAGAGAGCACTAGTGTCACCAAGTCAACTGTAATTATATAATAAATATATGTTTATATATTAACATGATAAAACTATAACTATACATATATGTGTGTGTTTGTGTATGTATATAGGTGTCCTGTAAGTAGAGGAAAATTTTTATACGAGTGATAGCAGACCAAAAATCACCAAAGCCAGAAAAATGTTCATGTAAACAATGAGCCAATTTAAAGCAGAGAAAAGTAGGAAACTACAGTTACTAAGGTATGTTCTGTTGTAATGTTCAACCGCTCAAAAGTCCTCTTCAAATGGTTTTAACAATGACAAACTCCTTACTCAATTGAGGTAAATTTTGTCTAGTTTACAGTGAAGCATTCATTAATTATTTATATAAATATTTCTTCCGTTATCGCTTCCTATTCAACAGAAAACATGGCATACTTAAAAAAACACAAAACTGAGACTTTCTACTTTTCTGCTGAAAATTGGCCCATTATTTATATGAACTATTTTTGTATCTCTTGAGTTAGGTTACAATTCCCATGAAAATTTCTTTCTACTTACAGAACACCCTGTATATATTACAATGGGCCTTTAAGCATAAGTTACTTAATCTACAATTGAAAACAAATTTATATATTTTTGAACATTTAATGGATTGGTCGATGGTTCAATTCATGAAGGCATTGAATGACTAACTTAATGTTGGTTAGATGAAAATATATGATTTACTAAATGAAGAAACTATCTTCTTAATATTTACGATTTTGACCTTGGTGACTTTTACTCAAAAGCCCACTATATGTATATAGTTGATATTTTTTTTAATCAAGCCACATATTCAAATGAACAAATATATACATTTTGAGCCAAGGATTGAAGAATTTTCGGAATTAACCAAACCTACCTTTATTAAATAAGTAGTGTATGTCGATACTTACAGAAAAAAAAAACTTCAACTGAGAAAAAAAAAATTGGCTTCTGATAATCCAATACAATTTCATTATGAGGGCACTGTCCAACTTGATGTTATGGCTTTCAACAACCTGCTATATCAATCACATCGGAAGTGTTTTCATTGCTGAGGATGTCAGACTAAGAGGGCACTTAGTTACTAAAAAGGAACCCAAACATGTTCCTTCTTAACATGAGACAAAGCAATTTTTAATTCAATTCTTTCACCATCTAACGAGTGGGTGGTATACTACAGGTAAACATCCTATTCTTGCTTGAGTGGAAAGGTCAAGATTCATTCTGAGGGTCAGCCATGAAAGTATTTTATTAATTATGAATGACAAATTAAGACTACATTATTCCAATATTAATGGATACGATAGGGTAGGCTTATTGTTGAACTATGCCCATGTCTAGAAAATATTAAAAGTGCATGCCACCTACCTGATTGAAGTCTAAAAAACCAGGTGATTAGAATTCTCAAGTTATCTAAAAATTCGTAAATCTTATTCACAAGCAAACTAGGTTATCACAGATAAAAAATAAAACTATGAAAATTTACTATTTCACCTTCTTCTTATTTTTGTGATTACTATTACATTCTACTACTTTAACCTTAGCATGCCCTGTTTCTCTAAGGTGTTTAAATAATTCATTTTTTGACTTAAAAGTATCATCACACATCTCACACTTTGGTTCACTTTGAATTCTACTATCACTAGTTTCAGTTTCTCTAGATGTATTACTCAGTGGAGGTTTGTTTTCAATTGTTATTTTTCCTTTGTTCTTACTTTCTTTTCTTTTATTTTTCTTTTTAGACCTAGAAGCCAAATCTGTATTATTATCTTCAGCTGCTTTGTTTTTTTTCTTATTTTGAATAGCTAACCCCTCCAATGCTAAATCAGTTTCAGAAGATTCAATACGTTCTAAAGTTTTTCTTTGACGAGCTTTTCTTTTTTTCTCACTTCGTGTTTTTCCTACTTTAGAATCTTTTATATCATCATGAATAGAATCACTTATTTCATTTTCAGTAATATCTGATTCTGGTAAACTTGCAGCTAATAAGTTTTCATCATCTCTAGTGACTTGTTTAGGGTCATTTAATTTTTTATGAATATGAAGGCTTTTAGTAAGACTATCATCTGATAATTCAGATTCTGGAGGTTTCATAAATCTTTTTTTCTGTTTTTGTTTCTTTTTCTTAACTGGTCTAACCACTTCATCTTCTGAATCTTCAAGGAGTGAAGCTTCAGATGATTTAGTATTAAAATCTTTAGCACTTGCTAAATCTGTCCCTTCTTCTTCATTGACATCAGATCCTTCTAAATTTTCTTCAATTTCATCACCACCTTCAGTTTCATCTTCCTCTTCAAACTCTGCCATTTCTAGTTTTAAAGCTTCGATATTCTCCTTATGTTTTTTAGAATTTTCATGATTTGAAAATGCTTTAGCTGTTTTAAAAATTTTATTGCAGGCAACGCAAAAGAAATTGTCAAACATTTCGTCTTCTTCATTAGAAGAATCATCATTTTCCTGATCCTGAAACTCTGCTGCTAAACTAGCTTCAATTTCTTTCAATTCACTTTCTAGATTTGAGAATTTTGACCAGTCATTTTCTACATAATTATTTATTTCAGACTGTCTCTTCAACATCTGTTGACGCCTAAGTTCTTTAGACTTTTGTTCTTTTTCAATAGATTCTTGTTCAAGCTTCTTAACATGCTCTATCACACGTTTGTCCCTCTTTCTAACAAATGCTACAAGAGCTCTGACTTCTTCATTGCGTTCTTTCCTAGCTCTGTCTCTGATTTTTTTATTTTCTTTTTCCATAAGGCGAAGAACTTTTCTGTTTGGAGCTTGTCTAATATCATATTGATCAAGCCAAGAGTATGACTTCTTTGTGGAATAACTTTGCCAATATGCATAGAATGGATGCACTATCTCTTCATAGGAACTTTTGGAATCACCAAAGTGAGGAATTTCAAAATCACTATCAAGATTCTTATCAAATTCTGAATCTTCAGCAGCTAATTTATTGAACACTTCACCATATACACTATAAAATCCTTTTAGATCATCACCATACCCAACAAAGCAAGAGGTAGTAAAATATTCATAAACATTAAGACTATCATCTTTATAATCTGACCCTAGTCCACTTTTCAAAATGCAATCCCGATGTTTATCATACCATGATCTCTCTTGAGGATCACTAAGTACTTCATAGGCTTGTTGGATCAATTGGAACTGTTGTTTAGCTACCTCAGTATTATTCAGGTTCTTGTCAGGATGCCATTTCAAGGCTAATTTTCGATAAGACTTTCTTATTTCGTCATCATTCGCAGTCATACTAACTTCCAAAACTTCATAGTGACATTTCATTATTAAATCTGTAAAATGATTTAATTAAAACAGTTTAGATAAGTACAATATGGATGAATTCAAACCCGTAATCGTTACCTCCTTAGTTCTTCAACTTGATTGAAATCTTAATATTGTTTATAACCTTCTTCAAACAACGGTTCAACAATCTGAGAAAACATAAATAAAAATATTAAGAATAGGCTTATTATGTATTAATTATCATATTAATTACCTACAGACCTTAAATTTAATCATGAGTTGTTTCTCATCTAATTAGTTGTCATCATTGGTTCAAGTGATCACTGAGTCAGCTGATTAAGTTTCAAGGTTAAATTCTCGTTAGTTTACCTTTTCGGAAGGGAAGTAGTTTGATTCACTTATCATTTCGGTTTTATTTATTTATTTATTTTTAATGTTGGAAAGATTTTACCATTTATTTAACGAGATAAGACTATGGCTTTGTTTAGAAATTGTCAATACTTTTTAAAAGTATTATAACTTATTGCAATTCTCTGCCTCTTCTTTTGCTTGGTGATGAATTCTGAAGAGAGCAGACTTAGGACATATGCCCATTGGCCAGAAAATGCTCCTGTTGATGCAAGAAGAATTGCTGCAGCTGGTTTTTATTACATGGGTCAAGGATTGGAAGTTCAATGTTTCAGTTGTGGTGGAAGAATATCGGAATGGAATATAGGTGACAGTGTTATGTCAAAACACAGAGTATTGGACCCATTTTGTCCCTTTGTTCAAAATCCTATTTTGTCAGGTAATATACCACTTATAAGTGATCGTAGAAATTCTCCTAACACTAGCCAGGAGAATCATTCAGTTTATCAGAATGAAAAGTCAAGACTTGAAACTTTTACATCTTGGCCTATTCGCAGCATCGTTAGTCCAGAGCTCCTTGTAAAATCAGGATTTTATTACACTCAAATAAAAGATAAGGTAAAATTTTATGAGAATGATTTTAGTATTTCTGATTAATATATCATCCCTTCAGTTTCCAACTTTTAAATGTGAAAAAACATGAAAAGTTTTTTCCTTTTGTCCGTTGATGGTATTTCTATACAAAAACATTTAATGTGCTATTAATTATTAAATGATAAAATTGTGTTTTTTCACATTTGATGATTAGGTTGTTGGCACAATATCAGTAGATAATTTATTAATGTTATTGTTCAATTATTTTTCTTTGGTTCCTACACGAGTACTATTATTCTTAGATTATGCTGATTACTGACTTAGAAAAGTATAGTAATATATTGTGATGTTACTTATGAAATTTGCTGAAAATTAATATTTGTTTTGTTCTCTTTTACTTTCACTTACCTTTATATGTAACATATAGTTAGGGAAAGTATGTGAACATTTTTGAATCTAGATTTTCATCAAAAATAGTAAGTCCCACAAAATGGTGTGCCTAAGGGTCAAATGAACTGAAATTAAGTATTTAAGCTAAGTTTATGCCTGGGATGTTATAGCAAGTTTTCCCCTAAAATCAACTAACCAAAAGGGTTAATTCATATCATTGATTTTTATATCATAGAAACATTTTTACAATTTCCTTGAGAACCACTCTGAAGATTTTGTTTAACTTTGTTATATCAATGTATAATTGATGGTCTTTAATATCAGTTAGTTCATATCCTCACTGATATAACTAACAGGGCTTAAATATCGAATTTATAAAATGTCTTCCTCTAAAGTACCTTCAATTGGGTTTATTTTAAATAATTAACCTCTCAATGTCAGTAGTGATTAAAAGGAGGTTGTGATGGCCGAGCATGTTAGATGTGCCGAGCACGTTATCTGTTTGAACATTCTTGTCATAGTGATGCTGGTTCGAATGCAGCCTGGATGGGGTTGACTTTTATTTTGTGGAGGATCCGTGAAACGAAACTTGACGTTCCCACTCTAGTTAGAATAGGTTTGGTTGTACCTCTAGAAAACTCTCCTGCCAAAATTGTGGGTAGGGGTAATCCAATAAAAAATTTAAAAAGTATTGAACGATGGCACTATATACACTATGGAAGAATATGATAATTTACTAGAGGAGAAAATAAATAATAAAAAATGATGAAATTGGAGTTAGTCATTCTGTCAAGTGAAAGGCTCATATAGAATTTTCACATGCTAACAAATAACGATTTCTACTTGTATTTGTACCTATGATTAAATTTTCTGATACAATTCCAAAATTGCCTATATTCTCATAATAAGGCAACAATTAATTCAAATAAAATTTAAGAAACTTAAACTTGAGAGACAACTAAGTTCTCAGTTTTCCAAGTAGCCGAGTAAAATTAGACATGTTACCTTTAAAAAGGTCAGGTAATTCAGATTTCTTTTTTATATTGTTTCTTATATGGGTTATTCTTTTTTATGTGGGTTCTTATTCCGATTCACAAAAAGGGTCCGAGAACGGATTGTAATATCTATCGAGGAATTTCACTCCTTCCGGTATGTTATAAAATATTTACTTTAATCTTAACCAGTCGAATCACGGAATACTCCGAGGAAATTATCGGAGACTACCAATGCAGATTTAGACAGAATCGTTCAAACTATTGATCAAATATTTTCTTTACGGGAAATATTAGAGAAAAAATTGGAGTACAACGGTATTGTTCACCAGCTGTATATAGATTTTAAAAAGGCTTACGATTCTATTGACCGCCAGAATCTGTATAATATTCTAATCGAGCAGGGGATTCCTAAAAAATTAGTAAATCTAGTCAGGATGTGCTTGACGGAGACACTCAATAAAGTTAGAACCGGTAATAATCTGTCCGAAAAATTTGAGGTTCGTTCGGGTTTAAAACAGGGTGATTCCCTTTCGCCTGTCCTGTTCAATTTGGCATTAGAACATGCCATTAGGGAGGTAACTGAGAAAGGGTTGGATCTGGGTGGGACAACATCGGTGCTGGGCTATGCGGATGATCTGGTACTGTTAAGCGAAGACCTTGAAACTATAAAACTAAATACGACAACGTTAATGAAAACTGGTAAAGAACTAGGACTTGAAATAAACGTGGATAAAACAAAATATATGGTTAGCTGTAAAAATGGCGATACTACTGGTGATATCGATATAGATGGTAATATGTTTGAACAGGTAGATAAGTTTAGGTATCTAGGTTCTACGATAACTAGAAAAAACGAAATTGAAGAAGAAATTATGGTTATACTGAAGGCGGGAAATGCTTGTTATTTTTCTGTGACAAAACTACTTAGTTCGTGCCTCTTGTCCCGAAACATAAAAATTAGAATCTATAAAACAATTATCTTGCCTACAGTTCTTTATGGGTGCGAAACTTGGCCGCTTACATTAAGGGATGAGCAGCGTCTTAAGGTTTTTGAAAATAAAGTATTGCGTAGAATATTCGGACCGAAGAAGGATGAGTTAACTGGAGAGTTCAGACGGTTACACAACGCCGAATTGCGTGAACTGTATCCGAGTAATATAATTGAGATAATTTCATCGCTGCGAATCAAATGGGGTTGTAACGTTGTTGGACTTAGTAACGAGAGAATTCCTAAAAGGCTAATATTTGCTGTGCCAAATGGTAAGCGTCCGAGGGGTAGACCGAAGCGAAGGTGGGAAGATTGCATTAAAGCCATTCTGAAGGGACTGGGTTTGGACGGCGAACGATGGAGGGAGGTGTGCAATAAGCAATTGGTGGTGTCGGCATCAAACCTTCGGGTTCGCTAAGCCTTTTTATTATTATTATTATTTTTATATTGTTATGTATGTAGTGAATATTAAAAATCCAGGTTTCCGCTCTTAAAAGCCTTGTGGGTTCGCTGCAGTGCTCCAAAAACCATTGAAATTTCCACCTTTTTTGTTAACGCTAAATATCTCCTTTTTAGAGCAATGTATATAAAAAATGGTCATATTAAATTTATTTTTTATTATTATTATTTCTTAATGATATTTACAACTGTATTAAATAAATACATCTAGTAAATTTGAACATATGGATATAATGAAATGAAAACACTTGCTGAGTAACTGCACAATGGTAGCACTCTATTTTAAATCTTAAACTGCTTAAATTATGTGACATATTTGGACATAACATTTTTTTCTTAATCCCACAGGAAGGCAACTATCAAGCTTTCAAAATTTACCCATTTCGATTTCTTCACAATTGTGCTCTTTCAGTTTTGGATGGAAGACTCCATTTTGAACCTTGATCAGAGAGTTTTGAGGTTTTTCTTGAAGATAATGAGCCATTGAGTGGACCGGTTGACGGTTGTCGGGAAGTGTTTTGAAAAGTATTATACATGGCCAGACACCCCTACCATGCATCCTCCATATCCCGAAAAATTGCACACAGTTATGTTCCTTGCAACTATTTGTTAAAACTAAAGCCTAAAGACTTGAGTTAGTTTTTCGATCATTGAGACTCAGAATTTAGCTTAATTTTCATCATAATCAGTTTTATGAAAGCTGAACAGTTACAGAATAATAAAATATGATAAAACATTTTAAAATAATAGGTATTGGCAAAAAAAACACCAGAAAAGTTTTTTTTTTTCAAGTGTTCAAATTAAAGTTTAACATCAAGCGATTTTGTAAATAAACGGCCAACAATAACAAAACACACCCCTAAATTAGTCATCTGGAGAATACATTTCTCTTTCTAAAACACTGATTTCTTTTTAAAATATTTGAAGCGATTACATACGAAATGCACTTAATCAGCAGAAAAGCGATACTGTCATAGGCGCCTAGAGTCCTGTGCAACATCATTTAGTACTTATAAATGGCATAATTATAGTGTTATTAATGTTTTTACTATTTTATTTTGATTGAATTTACGAACAGATATCAATACAATAATTTAACTGTCCAAAATAATTTTTTTGTGAAGATCATTCTTCAGATGATAACAATCTGTAAGGATACAAAGGTATGCAATTTGAAGGAAGGAGATGGCCCGGGGTGGCGGTCTTAAATTGAGGAAAAAAGGTCATAAAAGGAAAAATACTATATCTATAAAATAATAAATAATAAATATATACTGATGTAGAGATGGTTGACCGTTGATATAATATGAGAAGGAGTTAGTCGAGGGTGCGGTCAAATAAATAAAAAAAATTAAAATATATTAATTATTTTAATTTTTGCCGATTATGCCAGTTCTGCATTAATTTTTGCCAGTTCTGATAGAAAATAATTAATATATTTTAATTTTTTTTATTTATTTGACCGCACCCTCGACTAACTCCTTCTCAAATAAATATATATATATATACATATACATATAAAATCGAATTAAGAGATTATAGATAGAATACAATGTGAATAAAAACAAAAATGGAAGAAGTAAAACGCATATAGAAGTAAAATATAAATATAGAGTTAAGAGACATTGCAGAACTAATTTAGAAGTATAGAGAGGGAAAAAAAAATGAATAATTCTAATTATATTTGGTTGTACATATGTAAGAAAATTAATTTAAATATTAGATAATGTTAAGACATGGTTAAAGAGTAAAATGAATACAAAGTGAAAACGGATGATCATACATTGATGTAGAATGTAAATATAAAATGAAAGTAAAATTAAAGAGAGATCATACAAAGCGGAAATACTTAAAATAATGAACAATTAAATTGAATTAATCAATAAAAATTGAAAGTAGATAAAAAAGAATACGATGTAATATATAAGTTATTTTTTACTTATAAGATTTAAAATGTGTCTATATGTTAAAGAAATGCAGTTTTTATCTACTTTATAATTAACAGGATTCTGTGCCATGTGAATGTGGATGGATTCGGAAATGAGTCTTTTTTCATGGTTAGGAACCGTGGCAAGAATTGAAGTTTTTTCAAAAGCAAATGAATGGTTGAGGGTTAAGGCATGTTCTGATAGTTTGGAGGCGGAAGGGTTCTGGGAAGTTATGGATGTTTTATGTTGGGGAATGAGGGTTTC